CGCGATATTTCAAGGTACATAAGCAGTCATGGTTCAGACAGACAGTGATTTTGATGTGTAGCAGGGACCAGTTAGCAAGCGGGTGGAAGAGGAGGGTAAATAAGTCAAAGCCCTGCAAACGGAATCTGAAACCGGTGGTGAAGGTGATTACGCTTCACTAAATCCACTTTTAGCGGCAACACACTCTTAGGTGACGTTGTGGGATATGAGACTACAAAATGGCGTGAATAGGTAAAGAGGTGATATGAAGTGGGCTTGAGAGAAAGATATGCAGCACTAACGGTAGGACAAAGACTACGAGCGAAGGGTGATGCCACAAGTTTTGAACAGAAAGGGTTGGTCAAGGGATTGCCTTTTAACATTTCATTTTGATATGTCGTAACTCTACACTAGGGATGGCGCCTCTCACTAACGATGGCGGCGAAACGTCAGCGGTCCGAAACTGAAAGTCATGACTACTATATCAGATGACACAGGATTAGGTATGCACCATGTCTCTCTATTACACCAACCAAGTTGCCAAACCGAGATCAAACCAAACATTATGCAGCTAAAGTTGAATGCGTTCAAACAAAAGTGAGCACCATCTTGGTCTCTATATTTACACAAAGTATGGCTTCTAATAAATCTTTTACGACTAAATGAAAGCAACTATTACAAAATCACGCTAGAAACAGGACTTCATATGGAATGATTGTACCAATATAAAAAAGACGTATAAAAATTAAGGTTTAACATAAAGCGGAAACCTGCCTTCGACTCTGTAGTGGATGGCCCCTTGTCGAATATCTGGGCTTGCATGGTCCTCGCCTCCCTCGAGGTATATGCAGCAAGAGAGGAATTCGCAGATATGGAATTAGCTGGAGAGGAAAAAGTCAAAGGGTCGGAAGACGTCATAAACATGGAGGATGGCTGGCGAAGAACACAGAAATTAGCAAGCTGGCGACTAGGTGGGACTGAGGCCTGAAGATGTTGACTTGTATCATTGGGCACCACTGAAAGTGCCGTGTCTACGGCCTCGCTACGTATTACATTGGTATCATTTGCGGGACCGAAAGCAGTCGGGTGTTTGGGGTAAAGCACATTGGGTTTTCTCTGCAGAACTATCCTACGTTTATGACTTTCTTCAATAAAACGTCCCTTGATACGACTGCA